CCGCAGCCTATTTTCTTAATGAGCGTACAAGCCCGTTTTCATCGCAGTTTCTCATGCGAAAGGGAAACTCTCCCCGCGCTCCGAGGAAAGGTGGTGAACGGACCCGCGCGGGCCTCCTGAGCCTGCCGGGGACCCTGAAACAGTCTTCAGGGAGCCTTCTGAGATCAGAAACCGCCCTTTCCCCGACGCCACGCCGCTGCGCGCAAGCGCTCTGCCCCTGGGGTGGCCACGTCTGCTGCCCAGAGTAGTTTTAAGTGTTTTAAAAGAAAAGCCTGGAAACTTTGGGCAGCAGTAACATGCTAGCCGACGCCCGTGAGGAGCGAGGCCCAGCCCTGGCTCGGGGGTGGGGGTGGGTGCCGGGGGTGAGCTGGGATGCGCGCGGGCCAGTCCACCCGTGAAGGGCAGTGGGACACATGGGAGAAGCCGGCTTCCTTCCCCGGTTATCAAGATAAGAAACCTGTCATTTCTCTCGCTCACTCTGCAGCCTTGAGCTACCCGGAGCAGGCCGGGCCCGCCTGGTGCGCCCCATACGTCAGGAAGATGGAGAGAGCCTGTAAAGCACAAGGGAGGGGGGCAGCTGTGAACGCTAATCATTTCGGCAGCGGGAACACCTGAAATAAACTTCCCTGGGAACAGACAAAAGAAGACACACTTCATCAAGGTCAATTTATTTTTCTATTTTTCAACATTAGCAGGCGGTGCCGTGAGCATTTATGAGATAACAAGCCAGCCCATCCCTTGCAAGGGGTTGGGGTTGGGGTGCGTGTGTGTGTGTGTAAGCTATTTAGTTTCTTAGAAACAGAAAATTAAATGCCACCTCCCCCCGGGCACACGGAATGTTAATGAGAAAAACCAGTGTGCCAGCCTCTGCGAGAGAGCTGGGTGATGAAATGAAACTCGGGAAGTGTCCTCGAGGTAACCAGAGAAGTAGCAGTAGCATCAGTATTTGTAAGCACTCGTTTTAGACCGCAGCAACTAGAATATATTTGCAATGGGGTAAACTTTTAACTATTAAAGTATAAAACAGCTAAAAGGATAAACTTAGGGTAATAAGTAGGAATGGTTTTTAAATAATACTTAAAATACCGGTTTAAGTTGAGATGAAATTTCTCATGGTCAGTGGCCTACGTTTTTACTGCATCCTATGGATAATAAAAAGTCCCCCAGATCTGCTATTTATCAGTCCTTAGCTATAGAAAATAATTAATTGTAAAATGTAAGTTAAATGTCACCGTTAAATCCAAGATCTTAGTTTTATTTATAAAGTAAATAAAATGGAAACTTGTTACAGGTCATAGCGAGGAAGACACCTGCCGTGTGTTTTTATCATACAGAGGAAATAAAAATCCACATTGTGCTATTCTTGTTAGGTACTAATAAACCGAGTATTAAATGGGAATCTGGACTAAAGTCTGGAAGTGGCTCAGGTAGTTAGCGATATGCCGCTTTCAAAAGGAACACACTGCAGGAACATGTCGGTGTTTGTTTTACCTCTGGATCCATACATCTTACAGACCCTGGAAACAATCATAGAACAAGACTGAAAAAACAGAAACAAGTTTTGTTCTTGTTAGTTTCTTTTAATTGACTTTTATTTGTTTAGAACAATCTTAGGTTTACAGAAAAACTGAGACAATGGGGCCAAGAGTTCACATATATCCCACATCCGGTTTCCCCCATTATGAGCATTTTACATTAATATGGTATAGATGTTATAATTAGTATTCACTTTCAATACTATCTATATAATTTCTTTTTTATTGAATATATTGAATAGTCTATATAATTTCAGAACTGAAACTACTGCAGTACATACATGTATTTGTGTTAATAAGAAAGATTAATAAAGAGTTTTTGAACAATAAAAAATTTCCGTTTGGGTCATAACCTTTTAAAAATTCAAGTACGGTGAGAGTCTCGTCACTGTGTACATATGATGTCCCAAAGCTCCGTCTCGACGCTCCATCAGCCTTACAAGCCGCCTTCAAGGTCTGCACGGCACTCAGTGACTTCATCCTGGGTAGATGGGCCTCATTTTACAGGCTACTTCTTTGCCCCTATTCTAGATAATTCAAGAAAAGAATATTTCTTCTCTGATTGATGAAAAAACCCCTATAAGATAATGGACAGTCCTTCCTTTAGTAATGCTGAGTCTTTATTTTGAATCGTGTTATATAGATAAGGGAGGTCACTCCAATTTTAATTCCATTGACGACACGGGAGTATTTTGTCCTGTGCGGTAGATGAGTTCCTGCCTGAACACAATTTTCTGTAAACTGGACAATGTGCACTGTGGTTTCACACTCCACCGCTTCTTTCCCCCCAGATTTCACAGGCTCTTACGATCTTAGGGATCTAACTCTACTCAACGTCATAAACCCCTCGCTGCTGGGTAAACACCCCATGGTTTCTATTTTCCAGCGGGAGGAATCGAGAACAGACACAGCAAAACAGAAAAAGTCTAAGCTGCAGTAACTAGGAGCCACTTTTCAGTGCCTGCAGAGAGACTCCCCCTAGGAGCAGCCGGAAGGAACCAACTGCCAGATTTCAACCGGCACCGAGACTTCTGGAACTCCGGTGCCGACCTTCTGTCCTGCCAGCGAGGGAGAGCCCGAAGCGTGCCCCGTCTCTGAGACGCACGGTCCCTCGCCTGTGCTGGCAGCTTGTGCTAGGCCCCCTCGGATCTGCTCATCCACAGCATATAGGGTGTGTTTATCTATAGGCACCAATTCCCAATGCTCTCGTCACAGTGAAAATAACAGTCATTGGTCAGGAAGCGTCCCAAGTGTCGCTGGGTGGCTGGAGCACGTGTGCGCTTACTGGGTGGAGCCAGGACCAGGGAAAGAACTGAGGGGGGGATATTACATCTGGTACTGTACAGGAGTTAAAAATAGAAACTTAAGGGGAAGAAGGGGGGAATCATCCTTCCATTTCATTCTCCTTTATCTACAAAACATGAAAAACCGAGGCAGCTCTGGCAAGTTCTCCCTGTGACAGAAGCCCACGAACAATGCCTGCCCATCGATCCGAAGGTGGACACCTAGTCTGTTATTTCGATACCGATCGTCCTGTCCCTTCAAAGTGGACCACAAGCTGCCACAAAATCAGCCTTCTTTTAAGGGGTAATACATTGTCCCGTGAGACAAAGGACAGGAAAGCGCCGTGGACCCAGCCCGGTGCCTCCTGGAGAGTGGGAACAACATTAACAACGGGGAGTTGGAGACTCGCTCCGCATGCCCAGGGCTAGCGGTCCAGCTCCCAACAGAATGTTCTCTCCCAGGCACCTCCGCAGAGGACACCTGGTAACTCTCGGGTCACCAGCTTCAAGGTCGGGCGGTTGGGGAGGCCTGTTAAAGCCGAGGCTGGTTGGGAGCATTGCGGTTTGATGGGCCCGTAAGCCCAGGGCCTCAGTATCCAGCAATCCTGGTTCTCTTCTGGCCTGGGAGGCCGCACAGGAACCTCAGGATGAGCACTTGGGCCAGTGATGCTCAACTGCTCCGTGCCGGGTTCTGTCTCTCTACCCCCCCTCACACGTTCTCCCAGTTGCTGGGATACGTACCTGTTCCCATCCAAAGGCTGCTAGGTAACCGCCTCGTCAAACATCCGTCTCATTACCATCGTTTCCTGAACGGCTTTGGATGGATGAAGGGACGATGCTGTGTGCACTTGTTTATTTTTAACTCATGCTCCAAACAGTTCCTTATGGGGGGGCTAAACCCCACAGAAACAAGAGCCTTAGTGAGCAGGGTGTGCATATTTGAGTTTTAATCGGGAGTGATGAGATCATGAGATTTTTAATTTTTTTCCTTCAGTAACTAGAGTGGCGATGAGGAAGGTGGAGGGAAGAGGCGAGAGTAGAGGCAGGGCCCCCAGGTAGGAAGTTGTCGTCGGGGTAAGAGCCCAACACTGGAAACGGCCGTGAGGCTTTGGCGAGGTGCAGGGATACGAGCGCGTGGCCGTGGATGCTGAGTGGAAGTGGCAGGAAGAAGCGAGAGCCGAGTTCCAGATGGTTCTGACATTTCCGGCTCCAGTGATGGGCGATAACACGTTGCATATTTTGTGTCTGTCGAATGGGAGTGTGGTCCTGTGAGCGACTGGACATGGAGGTTTGGGCCTTGGGAAGACTCTCTAGGACAGAGACTGGACTAGGAATCGTCAGAGTACTAGGTGGGCTGGGGGTAGTCAAAACCATCAAAAGCCATCAAGTAGGAAGCGTGTAGAATAAATAAGGGCGATGGCCTTGGACAGAGCTGTGGGGAATGTCACCTCGGCTTCAGAGATGAGCAGGGAGAGAGGAGTCAGGGAGGCTGAAGGAGGGAGTTTCCATGGGAGAGGTTTCCAGAGGAACAAATGATTAGCCACAAACAAACGCAGACGCTGGAGTCGGAAGTCCTGGCTCCGGGGCCTAGCTCTGCCCCTGCTGGCTGTGTGACCTGGGGCAGGTTACTAAGCATCTCTGTTCCTCACGTTGGTCGCGTATAAAATGCACCCAGTAATAGTACCTGCTTCATTGGATTGTCATGGGAATTAAATGAGTTAGTATTTGTAAAGTGTTCAGTACAGGGCCCAGCAGGAAGCAATTGTTGGGTGAGTTCCACCGATTGTCACTATTAGATCAGATCAGAAAGGACCTGAAAACGCCCTTGCGTTTGGGAGTGATAATTGTTCCATTTACATCTGAGAACCTACCCGTGTCAGGCCCTAAGCGAGGTCCTTGCCCTTGATGAGGCTCCCACTCTGGAGCATCACCAAAGGCTGCAGATGACAGATCAGAAGTTTTTGGTAAATGTAAAATTTAAAAACAAAACANACATCTGAGAACCTACCCGTGTCAGGCCCTAAGCGAGGTCCTTGCCCTTGATGAGGCTCCCACTCTGGAGCATCACCAAAGGCTGCAGATGACAGACCAGAAGTTTTTGGTAAATGTAAAATTTAAAAAAAACACGAAACATCTAAAGAGTGGTCTCACCTCCTCTAGGTCCAGTTCTGAATCAGAGGGTCCCAGGAACCTGCGTTTTTGCACAACCCCAGTTGTCCTGGTTCATAATAAAGTTCAGGAGTTAATTCCAGCTCCACCAGAAACTAGCTCTGTGACCTCGGGCAAGCCGCGCGGTCGTCTGGGCTCTGCTTCCTCCTGTAAACAGATAATAATAGTACCTACCTCAGCGAAAACAAGCTCAATTTTTAGCACAACACCTGGCTCAGATAAGCATTCTGCACGCGTTTGTTATGCAAAATAAACAAATTGCGGTTCTCAGGGACAGTCAGCGGACAAGAGTCTGTAACTTTAGGGAGGCCGGACTTCGCCTTATTTGAAGACGAAATTAATTCACTCTTGCATCGATTTTCAGGTTGTTACCAAAAGGCCGTAGGGAGCCAATAAATTGGGAAGGATTTCAGGACAGAAAAGAGTTTGGGGAACAAAAATTGTCACCTGTAGCTTCCTTTCAGTTAAGATGATTGGCTGGGTCTGGCAGGCAGAATGCCACACACAGGGGTTACCGTTTTTCTGTAAGAATTGCAGCATTTAGTTTAAATATTATATGAATGAAATGACAGAAACCCAAGTCAAACCAGGTGCAGCTGATAAAGGGGAGGAGGTGTGTTGAAAGGATACTGGGGTAGCTATCAGAAGCTACAAAACAGCTGAAAGATGAAGCCTAGGAATCCGAGAGGAGGGTTGGTTCTCTGTCTGCGTCTCGGGCGTTGCTCTCCAGCCTGCTCGCGGCCCCTGGGAGGAGTGGCGGCCAGCAGGGCCCGGCTCCCGTCCTCGCCCCTCCTGCACACAAGGGGAAACCGGCTTTTCTGGCTCACAGCTCTCGAGAGAGGATCCTGGCCCCAGCTGAGTCCCGTGTCCCTCAGTGGACCGTCACTGTGGTCTGAGGAGTGGACTGTTGGGATTGGCTCAGACCGGTTCACAAGCCTGCCCTTGAACCAGCAAGATCATAAAAGGTGACCACTTCTTCTGTTCAGACCACTCAGCCAGAGCCAGGGGAAGGACAGGGACAGGGACAGCCCCCTGAGGAACGTCACCTCCCCCAGGGAGTGTCACTACGGACCCGGCCACCGTCCTCGGGACTCACAGCTTAGCGGGGGAGCAAACACACACACTGGTACGTGAGAAATGGGGAAAGGCTACGAATGCGCAAGATGGTATCAGTGAAACACAGTGTTGGGTGTTAGAGGCTCCTGGAGAANCGCAAGATGGTATCAGTGAAACACAGTGTTGGGTGTTAGAGGCTCCTGGGATCGAGTCTTAAGACGGGAGCAGTCATCTCATGCCTGCGAGACAGTCGCACTGTTAGGACAGGGCCCGGGCAGAGGAACGGCCAAGCACATTGTGGCTTATTGACGAGACACAATATCATGCAGATATCAAAAAGTTTTTCATCCTGCAGAAAACTGCTTAAGATACACCAGTGAAGGGAAACAGGCTGCAAAAAGGTATTGTTTTTATTGATTTCAGAGACAGGAAGGGAGAGAGAGAGAGAAACATCCACGATGAGAGAGAGTCATTGATGGGCCGCCTGCTGCACGCCCCCCACTGGGGGTCGAGCCCGAAACCTGGGCGTGTGCCCTGACCGGGAATCGAACTGGCACCTCCTGGTCCATAGGCTGATGCTCCATCACGGAGCCACTCCGGCCGGGCAAAAACATGCGTTTAAATATAAAGAAAGGAAACGTGCCACAGGATTGGTGACGATTCCCCTCGAGTTGGAGGATTACCAGACCAACTGAATTTCCCTTCTAATACTATGTATCTTTCAAATGTTCTATTTCTTTTATGATCAGAATAAATGATCATTTATAAATTTCATATATGTTTTCTAAAAATGGATTTTAAAAGACTTTTAGTAGCATGGAACAGTGAATATATCCCAAGGTGTTAAATGAGAAAGAGCCACACACAAAGTTGTATCATAATATAATCACTATATAAAAATACGCATAGAAAAAAAATGGACAAACACCAAAAAAGTTTAAATGTGGGGTCAAGTTTAAGAAAATGCCTTTTTCCTGCATTTTCAGGCTTGCTTTCTCTCGTTTCTCCGATGGGTTTGTGCTCCTTAGGACTTGCCCCTCCAAGTACCATAAGAAGGGCCCCACGGACATAAAGCCCAGTCGGTGTGAAATGCCCTGCTCGCCACACGTGAGCCCATCGGTTATAACCTCGGCTCCCCCGTTCCTTTAGAAGACGTCACCCCACGTTTCTAGGAAAGCGCTTGAAAGAGCCTCTCAACGTTTCCGCAGAAACGGGCCACCTGTTGTGTTTCCTAGAACCTCCCAGGCGGTCAGAGCGAACAGCTCCACGCTTCCTGTTGTGTCTGGACTGTCATCGCGAAGACCGGACACCTGGGCGACCCGGGGCTGCGGGCGAGGCCACCGTCCGGTGACGACCCGGAGGAGACGAGTTCTTGATACGAACCCAAAAGAGCCCGCGGTCAGTCTCTCTCGTGGGATTTGATAAACTGTCCCAGGCAGACAGATTCCGAGTCACAGCCGTGGTCTGCTGGAAAATTTGAAAAACGAAAACATAACCACCTTGGCGCGTGGAACCGAGCTGTGCGTCCTGCCAGAGCCGCCTCTGGCTGTTGGAACCCGTGGGGTTTGGACTCCCGAGGGCAGTGCCTGTCCAGGCGCTGAGGTGACCCGACATGCCTTTCGGGGGGACTCCGTCGGGACCTGAGTTACTGACCACACGTCTTCGGTGCTTCCCCTGAGCCCGTGTGGCTGAGTGTTCAATGGCCCGGAGCGTCGACCTTCGGGGTTCCTTCTGCAGCCTCCAGGAGACAAACACCAACTGGGCAAAATCTGCTGTATGATACATATACCAGCCCCCAAAA